AGACCCAGATCTGAAGAAACTCTTATTTATTGTGTGCTTAGTAATCTATGTGATCACACTGGCAGGTAACACGCTCATCTCAGTCACCATCTTCATCAGCCCGGCCCTGGCTACTCCCATGTACTTTTTTCTGTCCTACTTGTCCATCATAGATGGTTTCTACTCTTCTTCCATAGCACCCAAAATGATCTACGACCTGATCTCTGAGAGGAGCAGCATATCCTTCAATGGCTGCATGACCCAGCTTTTTGCTGAGCATTTTTTTGCAGGAGCTGAAATCATCTTGCTGATTGCCATGGCCTATGATCGTTATGTAGCCATCTGCAAGCCATTGCACTATATGACCATCATGAACCGTTCTGTGTGTGTTTCCTTGGTGGTAGCAGCTGGAATTGTGGGATTTGTTCATGGAATGATACAGACTACTTTTATAGCCCCGTTACCCTTCTGTGGCCCCAATATCATTAATCATTTTATATGTGATTTAATACCCATTCTGGAGTTGGCCTGCATTGACACTCACACTCTAGGGCCCCTTATTGCTGCCAACAGTGGGTCAATGTGCTTAATCATTTTCTGTTTACTTATTGTTTCTTATATAGTTATCCTTCACTCCCTGAGGAAACACAGTTCAGAAGGACGTCACAAAGCCCTGTCTACCTGTGCTTCTCATGTCTCTGTTGTTTTCTTATTCTTTGTACCTTGCTCATACTTGTATGTAAGACCAATGACCTCCTTTCCTATTGACAAAATTGTGAGTGTGTTTTACACCCTAGTGACACCTCTGTTGAACCCTTTAATCTATACCCTCAGAAATGAAGATGTCAAGAAAGTTATTAAGAAACTCCTGGGTCAAATAAAGACACATTATGGTTAAAGAAGTCTAGTAATTTTCTATATTTATATAGTAATATCTAGAAATATTTCATATAAATTTATTTGCCCTAAGTGACTTTAATTGATAATGTCTATTATACTCTGCATCAGAATTTACAAATGGATGATTTCTGTACTAAAGAAATAGGAACAGTGTAATAATACATGTAGATAATGTATATGAAAACCCCAGAATGATAAGGATTTCAATAACCTCAAAAATTTATCATCTCTTTGTGTTTAGAATCTTTAAATTCTGTTCCACTTAATATAATTTAACTATAATTATGTAATATAATATATAACATAAAATAAATTATTATGTATTATTGTCACCCTAGTCTGCTTATAACGTACTTCTATCAAACCATATTTAGGAATATGTTACCCCAGATCCTATTGTTCTTTCTCTTTCTCAGTT